TTTAGGTGTTTTCTTGGTAAACTTTCTGCACTTGCAGGGCCAATAACTCAAAGCCATCTCCATCTTTCCTCATTCTTTACCAAAACCAATCTTTAAAAACCCTCAAAATCTTTCAAAACCAACCATGATTTGATCAATCAACACTACCACAAATGGGTTACCCAGAAAATCCTTTTGCCTCTTCTTTCTTTTCTGGTCCTGTTCACCAACCTTGAGATGATTCAGTAATTGAATCTGCCTTGATAACACCAACTTGGTGTACAAGGCTGTGCAAATCTGGCTTTACCAGATCCTATTGAGATGCTTGAAGGTTTCAGTTTTCAACTTCGCAAGTTCGGTGAGGTCCACCATTGATGAAGTCCGACAAGTCATCTCCATCGTCTCCAAATTCACCAATGCATTTGGTGATTTTTGGCTCTCTAATTCTATTTCTGACTATCTTGAAGTGAATCCCAGAGAAAAAACAGAAAATTACCCACCTTTGCTGTCAAATTGGACACAACCAAGTTTCATTTCTCTCTAATTTTTGAACCAGCGACCTGTCTAGTTTTATGTGAAAAGCGTATTTACAAAACACAATTTTATCATTGTCCAAATTTTTTCTCCTAAAAAGGGATTGTTGAATTCACTTTTCAGCAAAAATACTTTTAAAAAGTGTTATAGTTTGATAAATTTGTTCAAAAATATCGTATTTTTGGTAATTTTGTTTATGAAGTACTGTATTTTGGTGATTAACTCACAAAAACGACTACCACCTCGAGTATGCAGCTCAGGTCGACTAGCAAGTAGCAACAGAGGCTAGTCGACTAGCCTTTTGCACCTAGTCAACTAGGCCATTCCTTAGTCAACCATATTTTTCTCGGGATGCTTTACATTGACACGTGTCTAGCTGATATGTTGAACTTTTCCCAACCTTAATTTGGACTCCCAAGCTAAGAATGTACGCACTTGACTCTCCTGTAGTCTTCCAAATGTCAAGATTTGTCTCACCTTACTAAAACGTGGTAGATCTTCTTGACTATTAGTGGCTCTAGTGAAGTCTTCAAGGCTTGCCTCCATTTTTCCACTAAGTTTAGTCAGCTGTGCCTAATAATTGTGCTTGGCAAACCAAAACTCAACCTTTCTAACTCTTAGCGTTGATTCAGTGGCCAAGTCTTGATTTAAAGATCGAGCCTGACCTTTTACAAGTTAAAGATATTAGGTTTAATATTTCTCATATCTTCTAAGAGCTAGCCCATCTGTCATGCATATGCATGTTAGTTTAAACTAGCTCAGATCTTTGTGGCTTTGTTAGAGTTCGAGGGAGTGGTCAGCACAAGCTTGAATATTCTGTAGTGTGCGTGCAAGATCCTGCACAATAAAAAAAAAAACGAGAACAGATCTCTCCCTTGGTGAACTCGAGTGAGCCGGTTGAGTGACCAAACACGCTGCTTGGAACAGCCTGCGAGGTACGGTGGTAACCTGAAACGGCAATGGGAGACCCTGAGAACGGAAGAACGATCCAGTAAGACTGAAAGAGGTTCCTGGAACAAATAAGAACAAGTTAGAAGGGCGCCGGAGTGTTTTCCGGCGTATCCCCTCCGACGATCTAGTCAGCCTTTTAGAAAGAGAGAGAAAAGAGAAAACACTGAGTGAGTATTGTAGTAAAGAGTTTTTTGTTGCATACCCGTCTTGCCTTTTGCAAGGAGTATTTATACCTCAAAAGCTCATGATTGCTGTCAGTGTAGTCAATAGATGATCATTAGATACAATTAGTGTGCGCACTGATTCTGATGAGGAATATCTTCTCTTCTTAACTGCTCGGGGTCCCGAGCAAGCAATGTTGGGTCATCGGGATGCCGACGGTACAATGTACTCCTCTCGGGGAGGATGCAATAAATGCTCTGTATTAGGAGCATTTATTGCCTTTCATTTCCGAGCCTTATCGCATTGAATGCGGTCTCATCAAGTGAATGATGTAATTAATAGTTTGCTTTCCCAAGTCGCGCGTCAGCAACGACATGCGGTTTCTCTGTCTTCGATGTGATATCATATGTCACGCGTCCATCCCTTATTGGCTGTGACCCCTGCATTCCAGTACGTTCTGACTAATTGTATAAGACGAGGTCATGATGAATAACCTAGACTAGCCGAGGCTAATGACCTGTACGTCAATAGCTTATCCTGGAGTAGAGGAAGCGTCTAGGACGGGTACTTCTCGGCACCGAGGAAAGGCCCATCTCAGAACCGAGGGAGGTATGCCAACCGAGGTACCATATCAGACCGAGGCCACGTGTCGGTTGTAAAACATACTGAATGCATGATCCTATATGACGGGTACCTCGGGGGCGAGGACCTTTGTGCGCCGATGGTGCTTGATCTTAGCAACAGTGTTTTGGTAATACCGATGACACGTGTCTTCATCATGGAGCATTTCAGAAAAGTCCCATCAACTGCCCCCCAGCCTTCGATCTTCTGACACCGAGGACACGCGTCGTAAGGAGACGAAGGGTTTTCCAACAACCACCAATGCTTCATTATTGCCTCGAGCCGCTTTCCCCGGCTTGGGATGTCGTGCGCATTAAATGCGCCGTTTCGTTTTTCGCGCCCAATGATGAAAATTGCCCCTACATAAATGGGGCTCTTTTTTCGTTTTCCTTGTTTTGCCATTCCGAACTTCCTCAAGAGAGCCTCTTATTGAATCTTCGCCGGAGATTTCTTTCTTCTTCCATCGTCGACTGCTCATTCTTCCTTAAAGTCTTAAAGCCAGCAGACCCATCGTTGCTTCTAAACTTTCTGGAAGGAGTCGCTTTAAGGTTTTCCAGAAAAAACTCCGTTTTGACATTCGGGTGAGTTCCAGTACCTTCCTTCTTTTCTTCCTCCTATCCTTTTGTTTTCCGATGACTGGGGGTGTCTCCGGTTGATACATAGCGATTAACCCTCGGGAAAATCATTCAGTGTTTTCTCCTTTCTCTCTCTTTCTAAAAGACTGACTAGATCGTCGGAGGGGATATGCCGGAAAACACTCCGGCGCCCTTCTAACTTGTTCTTCTTTGTTCCAGGAACCTCTTTCAGTCTTACTGGATCGTTCTTCCGTTCTCAGGGTCTCCCATTGCCGTTTCAGGTTACCACCGTACCTCGCAGGCTGTTCCAAACAGCGTGTTTGGTCACTCAACCGGCTCACTCGAGTTCACCAAGGGAGAGATCTGTTCTCGTTTTTTTTTTTTTATATTGTGCAGGATCTTGCACGCACATGTAGCATAAAAAAAAAAAAAAAAAAAAAAAAAACCTCCATACCTTGCTATCCCTGAGTTCCAGTCCAGCCTAGCTTGGCATTAATCCAAATCAGTAGAGGGTCAACACCTAATCTTGTTGAGATGGACAGCAACAATCCTTATACCATTTGTAATAAACCGGTTGAAACACCTATAGAATGAGTAGAAACACAAGTATCAAGTAGGCAATATTCAGCTTCCCATTTCTCGATTTATGCGCGTCATCCTTGCGCAGGGTCATGCTAATCTTCTCTGTATCGTTCCAATTTTATTGGATGTCACCTTCCCAAGCATTGAATTCATTTGAAATTTCCTTCTAACCTAAGTAGCAAAGGATCGACACCAGAGCTCCTTTGGTCTTCGATGTTTGTTTTAGGTGATTTTGTGATCCGGTCAGATGCTACATCTATATGGAGGTTATGATACAATTCATGAAATTGCAAATACTAAAAATCCTAAACGTAGCAATCATGAGAAAGGAGATAAAAGAAAAGTGAAGTCACAAAAAAATAAAAATAAAATCATGTATATGCATGACATATAAATGCATCCCCAGGCCTTACTCAAGGTTAGACCAAATTTAAATTTGAGTAACATGTCACAAATAAGATACAACCCTTTGATCAACCTTATATAAAATAAAAGGAGAACCAAATCTTGACTCAAATTAATGTTGACTCGAATTCTTAGGTGTCATATTTCAATCTCCTCTTTGCATCTGTGTACTCTATCTCCATCTCCTTATGATTCAATCTTTGTTTAGAATCATCGTTAGGTTCAAGAAACATGACTCAATTCAATTGAAGTTCAGATCATTTTAGACTGAATTTTGTTTTTTGTTTTTTCAAATTTTAGCAATCAAGGATGATTGAGTCAACATAATTTTAGTACCCTATTCTACTGAAGATGAACCATATGATAGGGTTTTGATTCTCTATTCATAATAAAATCTAGCCAAGCATTCCATACAATTTTTTTTTGATCTGTTATGGTATGAAGGGTCTTAGCAGCGCCACGCCAGTAGGAAGAGTTAAACTACTAAGCTAAGCTACTGTTGGGAAACTTAGTAGAAGCGATTTGCCAAAAGTTTTGAATTGCTAAACTTCTTGAGACACTTATATATCTGCGATTGAGATTATGGGGCCATTGATGTATTTATGCATGACTAGAAGAGGGTTTCAACATATATATTAACTTGTGAATTAACCTAGCACTGTAGTGTGATTTGTAATTAAAATATCAGTTTTTCAATCTATAACCACATCTAAGGAGTTGATGTAACTAGAAGAATTACACAACAAAGCCATCGACTTTGTAGACTCTCCACTGAATGCTTGCTCAAGTGATGTATCTTCAGGAGTTTGACAAGGATCAGGAGGCATTTGCAAATGTTCAACTTCACCTTCTAGCATCTCCACTACCTTTCTCATTGAGGGACGGTTGATGGGATTTGTCTGGATGCACCATAATGAAACCAAGGTCATCTTCCTAGTGATTTTGTTTTCATCATCAGTTGCTTCTTCCATTTCAATTTCCTTGCCTTTATTGAACCGATCGAAAATCCAGAATGGAAAGTATTGGGTAGAATTCTCTTCAGTAGGCATCAAATTTGTCTTTAATCCTACCATGTCCATCAACAACATTCCAAAGCTGTAAACATCAGCCTTATATGAGACACCTCCAATGCTTCTGTTGATCAATTCTGGAGCTACATAACCTATTGTTCCTCGAGCTTTGGTTAGATTCACAATGCTGTTATCAGTTGGATACAATTTGGCTAGCCCAAAGTCGGAGACTTTTGGGATGAAGTTATCATCTAGAAGAATGTTGTGTGGCTTGATATCGAAATGAAGAATCTGAATATCACAGCCTCGGTGCAAGTATTCAATTCCACGAGCCACACCAAGTGCAATCTCATACTTCCTCTCCCAGCTCAGGGAGGTACTTCCTTCTCGAGGAAAGATGTACTTCTCTAGTGAACCATTTGGCATGAATTCATATACAAGAGCACGCTTGGATCTCTCGGCACAGTATCCAATTAGCTGCACCACGTTGACATGATGAATCCTTCCAATCGAAGCAACTTCATTGATGAATTCTTGCCCATTAGCTTTGGATTTACCCAATATCTTTACTGCCGCAAACCGGCCACTTCGAAGCTTTCCTTTATACACAGTACCATAACCCCCTTCACCCAATTTGTCCTTGAAGCCTTTTGTCATCTTTTTAACCTCTGAATAGGAGTACCTAATGGGCATGAGGTTATTATGACTTTGTAGAAACCTTTCAATTGCATCAAACATCGACAAATGCCTTCTTCGCAGTTTATAGATTATGAACACAAAAATGCTTGGTAACCCAATCAGAAATTTTGCTGCAATGTGCAGTCCTGTGCAAGAAAATTAAGAGGAAAGCCATGAGAAACTGATCTGGTGCTGTATCATTAGAACTATGGTTAAAGACGAGCAGTCTAGTGCACTGCTCTTGTACTACTGTAGGATCTAAAGAGGGGCAGCTTTACTCCACATGCAAAAAGATTATTCCTTTGACTCGAACCCATATTGCCTAGATGACAATAGATCAACTTTATAGCTAAGTAAAACTCGCCATCACTATAACCATGGTTCTTGGTTGAAAAAACTCCTAAAAATAGGGAGTTTTTAGGGCTAATATCAACCTGTTTTCATAAAGATCATTTAAATCTCAATTTGTACATTTAAAGTTTAAAAATATAAATTTATGCCATGAAAGATATAAATTCGTATCAATGTGTTCCTGAAACTAACTCTGTCCATTTTTCCGTTAAAAAAGTTTGGGTTAATTATACCCTCCAAGTTTAAATATATCATATTTATGATCCAAAAAAAATTTCATCTATTAATACTCGTTAAATAACTCTCAATTGTATTGTATTATAATGTGTCCGAGTCAATAAATATTTTTTTTAAAATTGAAAAAAAAATTATAAAATACCTTTTTTTTGCTTACAATACTCGTTAAATAATTATTTTCTATCTATAGTTAGATACAAATCTTTTGATTGTCCAATCAAACTAAAGTTATATACGAATAACACAATTCTAGACAAAAAAATAGTTATTTAACAAGTATTATAGACAAAAAATTGATATTTTTTAATTAAAAAAAATATTAAATAGTATTATATGAATTATCGTAAATGTGAAATATAAGACACAACACAATTGACTTGACACGAAAATATTATTTGTTAAAAATAATTTTTTATTGACTTGAACACGACACGAAAATATTATGATACGATATAATTGAGAGCTATTTAACGAGCAATAAAGAATGAAATTTTGTATGGATTATAAATGTGAAATATTTAAAATTTGAGAGGTGCAATTTATAATTAATTCAAATTTTTTTAACTGCAAAATATATTGCAGTTAGTCTCACGAGCACATTGAAACATATTTATATCTTTAAACTTTGAAGATGTAAATTAAAATTTGAACAATCTTTCAAGGTGCAAATTGAAATTAGCCCCATTTTTTATACCCTACTTATTTGGCTTGTGCAGTACAAAACATATCACTTCTATACGTGATTACCACCTACACAGTTGGCTAAAGCAACTTAATTTGAAGACTGAGAAACTTAAAAATCTTTTAAGTTCCTTGACTATCTCTCTTCACTTCTTATTCAAATGAATGGGTTAGGCTTCCCCCTTTTCTCTGGTCTCTATTTTCTCTTATTTTCACTCCTTCAAAACTATCAAAGCAGTTTGTACGACTGTAGAACATATATTAATAATTAAATTATAAAAGGTGCAGGGGCTTACCTATGCCCAATATAATGGCTCTCCGGATATCTGCAAAAATGACACATATGTAATTAAAACAAGGAGGTCACGTGTATAAGTTGATCAACATGTGGCAAATTCAGCTTTGCAAGTAACATAGTTTACATATATTGCATGGCAGGGTTGAGCCCATACTTAACAATTTTCATTTGGATACCATTGTCTAGGTTGAGGCCCCAAGTCATATTGAGTTTTTTCTTCCCCGTGTAAAGGGAAAACATCCAATCACCATACCTTTGAAATTTATATGGTTAGGAGAGTTGAACTTGAGATGTAGTGCGAGCATACCTTTGACCCCCATTTTCCAAGTCAAGTAAGTCATGTTGGAATCTGCCTAGGTGGTAGCGAAACAAACATGAGAAGAAAAAGAAAGAATACTTACAGAAACAGATGGCCAGAAAGAATTCTTTGGTGCCTGTATTGTTCATACAAAGATTACCATCAGAGAAAAAAACAATAAAAACATAGTAAAAAGGGAAAATTTAAACTGGAAATAATTCCTTTATACTTGGTAACAAGTTTGCTGTTACATAATAAAGCTTTCTGGGAGACTGTTACCATGTCTTGACCTATTAAACTGAGTTGATCTGTCTTTTTTACTCCGTTATGTCATTCACTCTCTAAAATCATATGAGATGCTCATTTAATTTTTTAAGTTTGCCACTTAATTAGATGAACCCCTTAGGTACGAAAATTAATACCGTTATTTTTTGAGGTTTGATTTGTTGTAACATATCGCCTCATAATGTTAGATTCCAATAAAAATCGTCTTCACTTTTGATTATGTTAGTATTTTTTTAACTGAGCAAAATTTTCAATCTGACAAATTAGACAAAATTCACCCAAAAAAAAAAAAAAAAACCAATAGATTTTGAAGTTCTATCAATACCTAATTAGTCCATAATTGCTTTCAAAATTACCTCCACTCAATAGTACACTCTCCTACAGATTAAGCCAAAATTACCCCATTAGTCCATAAAGAAACTGATCAGGTAAAGGTGAGGAGAAATCAGGCACACACACACACACATATATATTTTCATTTTTCGATTTCTTACCGCACTTGGTGGATCCATCGAAATACAGTCCAAGAATGGAGCAATAATAAACCTCTGTTTTGAACCATGAAAGCTCAAACCCATATTCCATGGCGTCGTAGATGTCTGAAAAAGAGATATTATTATTATCCTTAAACGCCCACGAGGTCATCACCATTAGCGCTATACTGCACCTCTCTCTCACTTCTGCTGCCATCAAGCCGCTAACAATGACATAAGAGTGTATTCTGGAAGAGGAGGAGAAAGAGGAGTTTGTAGTATAAACTCCATTGATGCACTGTCCTATCTCCAGGTAGGGAGGAGAATCTACTGGATATGGGCAATTCAGAAAAGTTACAGGCTTGTTTTTCTGTTGGTCAAATTGGTTAAAAGTGCTATATGGATCTTTGTAAGTGAAGTTGTATTCGGTTAAAGAATACTGAGGAAGAAAGAAGCAATTATCCTTTTTTGGTACAGCAGAATCAACAAGGCGGATTGTGAGGTTAGGATAGTTGATAGATTGAACGAGGTATTTACGTTTATGTTTATGGTCACCCAAGTATAAAACTGTAGCATTATTTTCACAAGCAAGCTCATATTTGGGGTTACCACAGTTTTTGGGATCATCTTTCAATCGGAAAGGGTAACTGATGTTATGGATATTGCCGCAGGAAGAGGGGTCACAGGGATGATTCTGTTTACACCAGCATGGTTGAGTGAAGTGGATGAGAACAAGGACTGTGATGAAACCCACAACAATGAGATTTTCTCTCAACATTGGAGGGGAGAGAGAGAGAGAGTGAGTTTCCAGCAAGAATAGAAGCGAGTTTTCAGAAGAGGTGGAAAGGGGGCATATATGTAAACGTAAATTTTGAAAAACTTTATATGGAAGAACGTATTATTTATCTTTTTTTTTTTTTTTTTTGTCATTTGACTATTATGTTTTTATCAATCATGATGCCATTATCGATTTGTAGAAATATTTTATGATGATCTAAAATAGAGTAAATAATAACATCATGTATGTGGATTTTGAGAGCAAAGAAAAGGAGGAACATGTCTGTCTTATGGTTTTTAAATGATTGATTTGACATAATATTTTATGGGACAATGTTAAAAAATTAATTATTCAAAAGATAAATTGATAATGGTTTTTAAATGATTGATTTGACATAATATTTTATGGGACAATGTTAAAAAATTAATCATTTCAAAGATAAATTGATAATTTTTGTATCTTGATAAAAATAATATTTTTCCAATATTCAATATAAACAAAACTATTCATAATATTAACCGGTTAATCGATTAATTGATAGTTTTTAATAATATTAACCAGTTAATCGATAGTTTTTAATAATATTTACCAAAGAGATATTTTTTATTGAGACAGTAGGAAAAGAACAACTTTTATTGATCTAAATAGGAAAAAAAAAAATAGAGTATTATTGTCTCATGGTTAATTGTTTCACATATCTTCTCTTGTACCAATAAATAAGTTATGGAAAAATTTCAATCACATCCCTTTTATTTTATCATATCTTCAAGGATATTTCTCTATTTTTTGAATCTTCATTGACACCCATGTCAGATTAAAAATATTAATTAGAATGTAATTTTACTAAATTGTCACTGATATATTTGAGGACAAACTTCATTCATACCCCTCTAGATAAACATATTTTCAATGAGACCTTATTTGTTTTCTAATTTTTTTTACGTATTAAAATTCAGGTCAATTAAAATTCAATTTAAGCTAATTAAAATTTGAGCTGATTAAAAATTATATTTTTTGCTTATTAAAATCTGGGCTAATTAAAATTCTATTTGAGCCAATTAAAAATTATGTTTAATCAACTCGCATTGAATTTTAATCAACCCAAATTTTAATACATAAAAAAATATAAATTTTAATTTACTCAAATTTTAATAAATCAAATTTTTATTGACACGAATTTTAATAAGTAAAAAAATATAAATTTTAATCGACTTGAAAACGAATTTTAATCGACTCTGATAACTCGGGTAGAGTTCAAATTGACTCAAATTTTAATGAGTAAAAATTAAATTTTAATAAACTCGAATTTTAATTCGTTAAAAAAAATAATTTTATCAGCTTCAATCAAATTTTAATCGGCTTGAATTTTAATAAAAGTTTTTGTATAAAAATTACTTGAGGTTTATGTAAGGGTATTCTTGGTATTTTAGATGAATTTTTTTTGTTAAAAATAATAGTTTAATGGTATGAGGTGTTAATAATGTTTAAATATAAACTAAAAAGGTGTCAGTGATATTTTTAATAATAAATGAGATATTCTTGCATATATACTGAATTAGGAGATGTGTAACTGAAATTTTTCCATAAATTATAAAAGGAGGGCCAAGTACCTTTGACATATAAAACAGTTCAGCAGCCATCTAATGGACCCATGTTACAGAAATTACAGGGGACCATGGGCCCAAGCTATTGCTCAGCTTTGTACCCATATGGAAGATAGTATTATTTTATTTTCATTTGTTTCATTTAATTAATATTTAAACATATTTACATTGGATTTGAATTCTCCCTAAATTTAAAATAATTGGTGAATCCTTTTGATTCTTTTTAAATGGTGAAGGTCGTTCTATGTCATCAAATTTTATCTCCTTCACAAAACACTTGAAATTTTAAAATTCAAAAATAAATTAGGTATGCTGACATTCACAAATTTTCACCCTTCAAAAGTAATTAAAAAATTCTCAAATTATTTTAAAATTTGATAGGAGTCGTATCGGGCTACTTAATGGGGGTAAGCCATTTAATTTGGAATTCCCAAGTGAAGTTATTGGAGAGGGTTCCATAAAAGTGGTAGGTGGTATATGAATTGCGAATAACTTATTAAGAGGAATACAATCACTGATCGATATTTTTTTCTTGAAAAAAATAAATAGGTATGCAATTGCCCTATTAAAGTGGAAACACCAAAACCTGCATAGAGTAAGCTAACTGTATGGAGTTAACTTTATATTGCGCCATAAACTCATATGTCTTAATTTTAATTACCCTTCTTGGCATTTCATCAAGTATAGTAGATATATGTGATTTGCTTGTGATTAAAAGTATTGGAGTTTATTTTTCCAAAGTTCAAAAAGAAAGTCTCGGAGGGTTTTTTTTATGATTAAAAAAAAATTACAAACATGTAACTGGATAATGACCAAATTTTTTTTTTTTTTGTTTAATGACCAGATACACCAACTACCTACATCGACATTGATTAGTCTTCTAAAGGAGACAAAACGAGAGAGGCCATGGTGAGAAAGGTCCCACCTTATCACTAGTGTGTGGATTGTGGGCATCAACCCAGTTTTGGTGCAAAGGTCACCAAGTAAAAGTCATCTGTCGCTTTAAAGTTCTTATCAATCAACAAAAATATGGCCCGTCAAACAAGAAATCTGTCCAAGTAAGATGCATGGTTCGACAAAAATATGTACCGATTGATTAATGGTGAGACGAAAATTTTTTGAATATATTATTAAAACACAGTTGTTTTGAAATTTTAATATTAAAATACGGTATTTGTACTTTTTACAAGTAAATTTAACAACTCCGCTTTCGTTAAAAAGCGAATTCAATAACCTCGTTTTTGTTAAAAAGTGGATTCAACGTTCCCAACAACCCCGCTTTTATGGGAAAAAAAATTTTGGACAATGAGAAAAGCGTATTTTGTAAACATGGTGGCTACGGTCTTTTGTGAAAAGCGTGTTTATAAAACACGCTTTGCACACTGACATATTCGCATTCCAGAGCTGTTGGGCCAAAGAAAACTCTTTGGCAGTATTGGATACATGACAGTTATTACTCGAAACCAGAGGGACATGTTTGGATACTAACTTGCTGATTATTGGAAACCAGAGGGACATGTTTGCATTTTACTCGAAAATAATTCCATGGCTTTTAAACAGTTTTGAGATTAAGAGAAGATGAGAGGATTCTTTTGTAAAATTAAGAGTTTTGAGATCGATCAAATTGAGAGAAGATGAGAGGATTCATTTGTGGGGGTGTTGATCGATCACGTATAGCAAGGATTGCTTTTCGTATCGGATGTTGGATCAACAGAAATATCTGATCCTCCGTTATTACTATCGTCCAGGAGTTTTTGCTGGATACTGCTTTGAGGCGGCCGATCCTTGTCGGTTTTCATTCTATGGAGGTTCCATTCGAGTTTCTTCAGGTATGCCTACTTGAATGAGTCCCTTATTCTTCGCACCAGTTGAAACGTTAAAAGCGTGGTTAGTGACCACGCTTGTAAGGTGTTTCAGCTTATTATTTTAGACCAAGTTTTTTTACAAAAGTGCGATCGTTGAATTTGCTTTTTAATAAAAACGGAATTATTAACTCCATTTTTAAAAAGTATCGTAGTTTAGTAAATAAGTTAAAAAATATTGTATTTTAATATTAAAGTTTCAAAACAACTATATTTTGGTAATAGATTGTGCTGAAATCAAGTTATGTTTATTATATAAAGTTTGTGTGTAATTTATGTACATAATTTGTGATTGATTATGTGTATTTGAAAATTTTTATATTCTAATTTTGAAAAATATATGATTAAAATCAATATTTTCCATTATAAAGCGATCATTAAATTAAAAAATAATAATAGATTTGTACTTACAAATCCACGTATATACTGGATTGTTTCTTCTCCATGAGTGCAGTCATTTCAATTAATGACTGATTTAAAACTAGTGCACCAAAATTTGAAAGCAGCTCTTAAGTAGTTACGAAATGTGACCAGACACTTTTTCTCTTTTCTTGTAAAAAATTAGAGGCCTGTATGGTAAAAAAAAAAAAGGATGGATAGAAAATGGTGAATGAAAAGTAGGATGAAAAATGTACTTTTCTTTTGTTTGGTTTGAAGGGAAAGATGGAGAGATAGGAATCCATCTAGTTCACCATTTTTAATCCCTCCATTTTTGGGCGGAAAGTGGCAGACAAGTTGGTCATGATGGGTTCCACAACTTTTATGTAATGCTTAATTACCATTTACTTCAAAGAATTCATCTCCCTCAATAAATTATTCATATTTTATTAAGGATATTTTTGATATTTCACAAGTAATAATATTTTATTATTTTTTTTCATATCAAATAAAATACTAAAAAATTTATTCCTTCTACTTTTACATCCTTCTTACCAAACACAAAATATGAAAAACTTCTTTCTTTCCTTCAAGGATGAAAAATTTGTCTCTGTCCCTCCTATTTTTTCATCCTTCTAATATTCCATCCCTCCTACCAAACAAACGATAAAACAAGAGGAAAAAGGTCTTCCCCCCCTTCTTATCTCTTATGTATTTGTGGATTGTGAGAATCCACCTATTAACCTCATTTGGTGCCAACATGACAGGTTAGGCCTGTCGTGACTTGAATTGTCAAAGTCAATCAATGAAAAAAGTCACTACACAAAACTTGATTTGGAAATTAAGCAGACACTTTAAATTTTTTTTCTAAAATAATTTTGAAAGCAAAATATCAATTTTGTTTAAAAAATCGGAAGTATTACTTTACAGATGATTTACGTGAATATTTGTGTATAAATAATATACTTTATATATGTGTGTGTGTGTGTGTGTGCGTGTGTTACATTATGTTGCATGTAATTAAGCTTAGAGAAAGATAACACGTCCGGACAAAATCAAAAGCGACAAGCTAGGAGTGAAAAGAAAGGTCCCACCTTTATCACCTCAACGTGGATTGTGAGAATCAATTTATCAACCTCATTATGGTACCAACATGATTGGCTAAGCACGTCGTGACTTAAATAGTCAAAGTTAATCAACGAAAGAAGGTTAGTCA